TGTTCCAAGGGTCATTTAGGAATACTGTCACACAGACGTTAGGGTAGATACAGTCTTTGACTTACATGTTCCCACAAAGGGAACATTGTGATCTCAATATTCAGTTTATTTCTATGGTCCATCAATAGGATTCCTTATATTGTGAAATACCAGTAGAAAAAAATGTCTTGTATTATTTAATACTACTTCTATGTTTTCCAAATTTTTATCCAAGACCAACTATATGATTATGTATATTATCCGCTCTGAGAGTCTTGACATGACTACTTAGAGTGAAAAAAACATTTCAGATAATACAAAAACTTCATTGAAATAAAAAAATTACTTCTTAGTATTGTTTAATAAAGGCCAGAGATCTGATAATCAACATAAAAGAAAAAATTCCTAGGGCTAGCTATAGTTTGAACTAATACTTATAAAATTTCAAAATAATGCCTTAATTATTCACATAGAATCATCTTTATTTTATATATGATTACTCCCTCAACTTCACAATAGATGGTATGACTGTACAGTAGGGTAGTTTCAGAAGCAGAGAGAGTCTGAGAAAACAACAGGCAGATGCTTCAGAGAGGAGGTGGCAGACAGTAGGGCAGAAACGTGACGGAAGTCAGAAAAGGGGACAGAAGGCAGAAGGGGCAGGCACAAATGGTGACAGTAAAGGCAGTGAGATAAACAAAAGTAAATGTGGCAAGAAGTAATGTGAGAATGTGGAAGACAGATAAAACTTACAAGTATAATAGGTATAATATTCAGTCATGTTTAATAAAAAGGAAATACAAGTATATATGCATCTATGATAATACAAAAATGAACTTCAGTAAATTCTGTAATCTTATAACTTATGAGATGCTTCGATTAATTTATGTGTTCATCAGTATGCAGGAAAGACAGGAAGAAGTCAGAACATAATAAACAGTATCTGTACACTGATATTCCTGTCCCAACAGGACAGCGGATGTAACTGTCCTGACCGCTCTCTTGTGTGTCTAGGAAAGGTGCCATAAAACGAGCAGGTGTTTGGGTTTGATGGGCTCCATGACTCAGTTTCACAGGGGCTGTGCTGTTTACTGGTAGCTAGAGCAATCGCTTCCTAAACCTCACAGCGTGAAGCCTGACACAGCAGTTCTTTCTCACACTCCTTCCTTACACTGTGATGAATGCTTTTATCTCAGGGTCAGTGGCCCTTCTTAGCCCCGAGGGCCATCTGTGGCCCTTGGGATGCCTGAGGCCAAAGAAAGAGACAGTAGAAGAGAAAGAAGGGCTAAGAAAGACTATTTTTAAGGGAAGGAGAGGGAAAGGGCAGGATTGGCAAGAAAGGGAGAGGGAAGCTCGGAGGAAAGCAGTTCTCTGGGTGGGGAGGAGCATCAAGTCTGACCATCAAATGCCTCGTCAGGACCGGCCAGCAGACTGCACCACAGACCACCTTCCTCTTCACTCAGCGGCTCTTTGGCATTTGGTTTAAAAATACACATTTATCCAGGGATTCCCAGAGAGGGAGCAGGACTCCATGACCCCTTGAAATCATGATCCTCTCATCACTTAACCCCGCCAGTTGTGTTATTCCCAGACTGCTCTGCAGTTCCCTCCCACTCCCCACCCTCCCACTTTTCTCTTTCCACTCCCCAACTCTAGTGGTTCCCCAGGTACTAGTGCTTTACGGTCAACAAACTTTTCCACTTTTAACCTTTTGTGGAAATACTGTGCTCTACTTCCGTGCTTTAATTAGAACCCGGCTGTCCTTTGAGCACACTATTTTCTTGCACTATGAGTACTGGTGTCCTCTGGTCCCTCATGCGGGTTTCAGATCACTATTTCTCATTTTTGTAAAAATTTCCATTGTTTTGGGCCTCATAAAACCCAGTTATCCCCTAATTCTACTCTTCGCTGTCATCATTTACTGAACACTACCTTTCATTCACGGAAGAATTTTGGTGCCTAACTCTGTATCTCAACTCTAGACAGGATACACGTCTGTCTCCTTGGACAACCCCTCCAACATTCAAGTTTTACCACTTCATCTCCCACCACCTTGTCTCCTCCACCTTGTCTCCTCCACCTTTCTTGGGTCACCTGCTTCTGCAGTCACATCTGGAGTACTGAATAGCTGTCCTTTCTGAAATGACTAAGAGAGCCCATCCTCTGACAAGGACACCTACCCTTATAGCTTATTTGCTCAGTAGCCCAACCTCTTCCTGTTATTTGAATGAGATCTCTACTTTCTCTATGTCAACACTCTGTCTTTTCAAGAAACTTACACTGCAGATTATACCTTCTCTTTCCTATATCTTCAAATTATCCTTCTTTGCCAGGGATTAAACATACTCAAGAATCTTTATCATAAAAAAAAACCCCTAAAACAAACAAAAACCGCCCCCCAAAACCAAAAACCAAAAAAACCCATAAACCCCCCTTCTGCACTTTGTATCTCTTGCTGGTTATAATTCTCTTTTCTACTTTACAGCTAAATTTATAAAATGGTTGAGCATTTTCTCACTTCTTGTTGACTCTTCAATCCCTCCCAATCTGCCTTTTGCCTGTAAATGTCCATGGAAGTCTTCTGAAGTTTATCAATGACCTCCATTAGCCAAACTGGTCCACAGTGTCACTGAGCCACCTCCGCATCACTGGATATGGCTGATAACTGCCTCCTGACTGAAGCGGTTCCCCTGTGGCCTCTCCTCGACTGCCAATGCCTCCAGCTATTCCTTCCTGGTCTCCTCATCATCTACCCCCCTTTATTCAACCTTTAAAGAGCTCTGAAGTCTGAGGGGACCTGGTCTGAAGCTAACTTCTGTGTCTCTCCCCAGGTAATTTCATTCACTCTCATGGCTTCACACATCATTATGCCAGTGACTCTGAATTTCAGAGCAATACTTTGCTATTTGGATGTCCTAGGCATTTCAAACACAGTATGTTTAAATGTACTCTTCTTCCAAATACCTTCTATCAGTAACTGTACTATTATCCACCTAATTTTTCACATCAGAAACCAGGGAGGTCCCCTCCAAAATCACCATCAATCCCTTCAGCATTCTATCTTACAAATCAACCTTCAAATACCTCATGACTATAACTGTTCTTTCTATCTCCACTACCACTGACCTGATCAAAGCCACCCATCACTACTGTGGCCTCCTGATCTGCTCTCTCCAAAGTTTTTCTGTTTTTTTCTATTCCTGATAATCTAATTTCCACACTGCATAAAAGGAATCTTTTAAAGATTCAGATCTAATCATGATATTTCTCTGCATATAACATATAATGCTTTTCGGTTTATAGGAAAAGAAAATTCTCAAATCTTCAGATGGCCCTTCAGCATCTGGCCCCTCTTTAGTTTCCAGACTCATTTCAATCACTTGTCCTTTCTGCCTTCTACACTGCAGCCACTGAGTTCCACTGAGTTCTTCCTTGTCTCAGACATTTCTATGTATTGTTCTTTGTTTGTTTCTGTCTGGCAGCCTCCTCCCCACAAGATCACGTCTCTCTTCGCCCCAGCCTGGTGAATTCATTCATCCTTTAGGCATCTACTTAACTGTCATTCCCTCAGAGGAGCTAGGTTTGATTTTCTTTTGGAGGGCTTATCACAATTATAACACATTAATTATTTGTGTAATGTTTGTTGCTGCCTGCCCCAACTCAAATTCTGTCCCCCCATGGCCAAACTGTAAAATCCACAAGGACAGCAATCATGTCTGTTTTAATCAGGAGTGTTTGCTGTATCTGTGAGGCCCAGCACACTTCCTGGCACACACACACTGTGTCCAATAAACTGGTATGGAACGAACGAATGAATGAAATTCATTCCAACTTAGGGATTCTGTTTATCTCAACACACTAGAAAGCAATGTTATTGATATTTTCAGGTTTTACTCAAATAATGGTAGGAATAAATAGCAATCAGACATACTTTAATTCCACCACACTTTTGTCAGGAGAGGGAGCCCTAACTCCTGATAGTTTCAACTTGTAGTTAATTTTCCTCAAAAAATACAATCCTTAAAAATAAGGATTTTTAACTCTCAATTACTCCTTCAGGCCTATATTCTCTAGTACAATCATATATTGATTTGTCCTTTGTCTAAGTTTGGTTAGGAAGGAAAAAAAAAGCATGTTTAAGGAAGGCAAAGAACAAAAAAGTCTAATAAAGGTTTTTCTTCTTCTTTTTTTTTTTTTAACAATTTTATTTATTTATTTGACAGAGAGAGAGAGTACAAGCAGGTGGAATAGCAGGCAGAAGGAGAGGGAGAAGCAGGCTCCCTGCAGAGCAAGGAGCCAGATGCGGGACTTGATCCCAGGACCCTGGGATCATGACCTGAGCCGAAGGCAGTTGCTTAACCAACTGAGCCACCCAAGTTCCCTAATAAAGGTTTTTCATTAGATAAATGCCCCTTAGACAAAGTCCAATTATGGATCCTGTTTGGATTTCAAATTCTAGTCACTTTCTTGGAATTCAGAATGAAGCACGGGAAAAAATTAGGAAAATAAAGCCAACTTTTGGCTCTACCATGAAATACCAATCCGTGTCATCTGAAAGTACGCTACACCTCCTTCTGTGACAGTCTCTATTAACTTCAAAGCACTCTATTTTTTCCTCCAATTAGGCTGGGCTCATCCCTTTTTCCTGCTATCTAGGCAAATGAGAGTATGAGGAAGAAGCTTTCTTTAAGGAAATCGTTAATTTAACCAGAGCTCTATTTGTAGTACACAGAAATACTATCAAATTTGATGGAGAACTGAAATTCTAAGATGTTACTTTTCTGCCACAGTGGACCTGACTACGGCCAGCGATGTTTGGAAAAGCCTTCTTGCCTTCCTCCCACATAGAAAGTGTAGATGGTAAAGCTGAGGCTTTCGGGCAGTGTTCCTACAGACAGAAACAGTGGCTTCTACATATTCACTGTGCTGGCCTTGCTCTGATTTTGATGGTCTCACTGTCAGGTACTGATTCCTACTACATTGCTCTGACGATGCTTCCAAATGTCCTTAACCTACTTTACCTTCACAGGAATGTCTTCTTCCTGGCTGGCTTTCTCTGAGGTGAAGACATACGAGATCTCTTTGTGAGATGTGGTCTGGCGGCAGATGGCACACTTAATGGAGCTTCTATGAGATCCCACACTGTACTGCTCAATAATAATTGAAATGCACTCGTTACAGAAACAGTGTCCACAGGTCAGTACTGCCCACTGAAAAAGAAAACACACAGAATATACCTCAGTGAGGTGCTATCAAAGATGCCTTCTAATCTATAAATATATTAAAAAGAGAAGGGAGTCATAATTTCACTTCCTATATGTTTTATGACGTTAACACTCTTTAAGTCATAAAAGCTAAGTTGTAAAAATTAACTCATTTTTAGTTCAACCAGAGTACGCTTTCATAGTCTTTAGTTCTACTCACTCTAATTGTGAGCATAACAGTCAGCCACCATTATTTTGTAAGAAGTTGGTGTTCTCGGGCGCCTGGGTGGCTCAGTTGGTTAAGCGACTGCCTTCAGCTCAGGTCATGATCCCAGGGTCCTGGGATCGAGTCCCGCATCGGGCTCCCTG